AGATGAGTGCTTGCGACCAGCCAATCGATCAGCACAAGAGGCGGCTAAGCTGGTGGCACGTTGAAATAGTCCAGCACGACAGGCGCGAGCCGTGCCAGCGCACGGCGGCGTAGAGCACAAGGCCTTGATGCACCGCAGTGGAACGTTGTGTGCTAATACTTCAGATCTCAAGGCCTTGAGCTGGGTCTCCAACCACTTCAGACCGCGGGAAACGGGGTCCTTGGGAGGAGAGCACGCCTGGCAGATGGGCTTCCAAAAAGTCTCAATAGTTTTGCCGCGGGACCCGTGGACAGGGAGATCGGCCCCCAGGACCCTCGCGAGATCAAGTTCGGCTCTATTCGCCCAGAGACCGCACCCTTCAGAGAGCAAGGCAGCGGCCCCGTCACCGTCCCCAAGGGACACTCTGTCCACAGCAGTATTGACCAGATCAAGCACCATATCCCAATCAGTGCTGCACTCCTGCGGCCTGGGGCCGAACGGGGGGTCCACAGGCAAGGGCGGCGGCTTGCGAAAGGCGAGAGCCTTCAATTGAAGCAGACGAGGGTGAAAAGTAAGCGACGCGGGGCGGTGGGGGTCGAGCGTCGTGTCGAGTCGGACTTTGGCCTCGTTGAGGCCCTTGGCCAGGGGGGGCGAGACCGCGAAGTAGTCAAACTTGGACGGGTCACCCAAGGAAGGATAATGGGCATTGTCGGGGGTGGTGATGAGGAGACCCCCCACAGCTTTAGCAAATCCCATGCCTTCTAACAAGTCCGGCCCGAAGTTAAAGTCCCCACCTATGATGTATTTCTCCGACTGACTGCTCACGAACTCCCCCAGGTCGCTGAGGATGCCCCCGTTGGAGGCGTCGAGCCCCACGGAGTGGTGAAGATAAAGAGAGACCAGCAGTAACGCTGGGCTGTCAGGAGCGTGACGCTTGCAGGCTAGGCAGCGGCCCCGAGCAATGGCTGGGGAAGGCACACAGAGTGGAGCCCAAGCCAAGACCTGGCAAAAATGGCCACACCAGCACTGTCTCCACCTTGCGGGCCTGGAACTGCAGCAAGCCAGATGGATTTCCAGCCCGCGCGAATCGCAGAGGCGGGGGCGCGGTCGATCGACTCAGGGTCCCCGGGGCGGTGTTCTTGGCAAAGGATGATGTGAGCCGAACAGTCGGGATCCTCCAAGAAATCTTTCATCGTGCCCCACTTGTTACAATTTACAGACCAAACCTCCAAGGCCACACTGACAACGCCACTTTGGTCCTCACCTGGGTCCTGGGCCCTGGCCAGATTGGGGGGAGAGATGCAGCTGGTCTTGCCGACGGGCCAAAGTGAAATCGGCTGAGCTACGAACGGCCTAGCAGCCAGAAAAAAGCAAAACTCCTTTTTCAGCCTCCTGCTGGTGGCAGGCGTGCAAAAGCTCCTGGGAACATCGCTAGGAACACTCATCCAAGCGTGAATCTCCAAGAGAAAGTTGTCGAGCTCAGCGAAACTGCGATTCATATGCGGCAAAAACTCTCGCACATCTGTGGAATTATTGTCCCCCTCCCTTCCCAGGGAGGGGGAGAGGATTGGAAAGCTCGTCTGCAACCAAGGTGCGAATGTCAGGCCCAGGAGGCTCAGGCCGCGACCCCGAAGAGGACGCACGCGACGGACCAGCCCCTGTAGACTGACCAGACCCTTCACCTGCAGCAGCTGCCTCGCCCCCCAGCGTAGCAGCGTCTGAGACGTTACCAGCGCCAGTCTTGCGCTTCTTGCCGAGCCTCTCGAGGTGCTTGGTGCGCTGCTCCTTGGCCTCCTTGATTTTTTGACAACGCATCTTGGAACAATGACTTGGCTGCCTCTCGCACTTTCTCGGACAGCTCATCCTTGCGCTGCTGGATCTCCTTGCGGTCTTGCTCCTCAAGGTCGTAGGCGTCATCAGCAACTTCGAGCACGTCAGTCGAGATGATCTGGTCAATGGAGACGGTGCCGTCCACCAGCTGCTCGAGAGTGACCTGGGCCACCGCTGCGGGTGCAGGCTCTGATGGCACCTGCTGCTGCAGCTCCAAAACGACTTTCTTGTATGCGGCGTCGGCCTCGCCCAACTCAGAATGAAGCTCAGCCACTTTCTTGCGCTGCTCCTCCAGCTCGGCCCTCCAACGATTGAGCTTCGAGAACTCGACCTGAAGTGCCCGCTCCTTGCGACGGACAGCAGCGTGGGCGGACTGAACCTGCTGCTGCAGAGACGGCGCAGGGGCGCGCTCCGACTTGTCGAGGGAGACGGCGATGGCACGGTACTTGGCTGCCAGCTGCTCTTCTCCAGCCTTCGAATGCAGGTCGGCGAGCTGCTTGGCTTCGATGGCGGACAGGCGGGGCACAGGTCCAGGCGGCAGAGCTCCATGTGGAACGTCGGGAAGAGCCGCCGCACGAGCACCTTTGCCTGCAGCTGCAAGCTCAGAGCCCTTGCCCTTGCCCTTCTTGCCATGGCCCTTGCGCCCTCCCTTGCCCTTGCCGTCCATGCGAACAAGTGCCTCAACCTCCTCTTCAGCAGACCCGAAACCTCGCGCCCATGCACCCGAGGCAGGCTGGACAGGGGCGCCTTGAACCTTCGGCAGGTCGGAATGGCAATGCTTGCACCACTTGAAGTGCGGCAGGTTGCGACGGCAGCCACAGGACGGACATGCACTCTTGGACTGTGGAGTGTGGTGCGCAGCGCCGCCACCTCCCCCCTGCCGAACCCACGGGTGATATACCCAAGCGTCAGCACCGAGAGAAGAAGCGTTGCGCGCCATCGCACACTGGTACAGAGAGTGCTAGAAACGAACGTGATGGTGGAAAAGGTGGGGACAAGCCCCAGTAAGAGTATCAGAAGAACACTGAAGATCGGGATGGGGCCGCAAATCCCCTTGCCACAAAAACTCTAAGTCCTCTGAGCCACCGCTACGGACTTGAGCCAAAATGGCTACGGAGTTCCTAATTCGAATCCTCCTCCTTCTGCTCCTCCTCCTCCTCCTCCTCCTCCTCCTCCGCCTAGTGGTCCTCGTCCTCCTCCCCCGTTCCTCGTACTTCTTCGTCCCTCCCCCTTCCTAGTGCACAAACCCCAGGGCACCAGCCTCCAGCCACGGCGAATCGCAACAAGCAGAGCACGCGGGACTTGGAAGAGTCGCCGGCGAAGGTGTCAGACGCTCAGAGCCGCATCCCACGGAAGGCTGTGATGGGCCCGAGTCCGAATCGATGTTCCCGGGAGCCTCTCCTGGGAATGTCGTAAAGTCCTTGTGCGCGAGGCCCTGTGGAGTTCAAAGAGGTCTCGAGGGAGGGCTCAAGCTCGGAATCGATGTCCCCGGAAATCACTGTGGGAACATCGTTTAGAGTGTAGACGCGTGGCTTCGGAAGGTGTTTTGGGGGCCGCTTGGAAGGCTCAGGAGCCTTCGTTTCGTACTGCCACTGCGCTGGTATTGTAGGTCAGCAGTTTTTTGGGCACCTGTTTTGGTCTCTTGGCGTGCTGCTCGGGCGCTTCTTGAAGGAACGAATTTTCACGCCTCTTGGGGTTTCTTGGGGGCCGGCCGTTTGGGGGCCCCTTCTGCATACAAAGTGGCATCATTGGGCCTTCTTCCCGGCTCTCCTTTGGGGCTGGTTGGGGGCTCTCGAATGCCGTCCTGGAGCGCTCGTGCGCAATGTTGGGAGGCCGGGGCCGTATTGGAGCTCTCTCGGGGCCCTCTTGGGCCCTCTTGGGGGTCTCCTTGTGGGCCCCTCTGACGCCGCTCTTGGGCCGACATGGAGCTCTCTTGGGCCGTCTTGGGGCTCTCTTGGGCTATTTGGGGGCCCTATTGGGGGCCTCCTGGGCCGAGCTGGGGTGATCTAGGGGGCTTCTGGGGCCGTCGTGGACGCTCTCGAATTCAAACGAACGAATATGTTAGAAATGTACGTTTTACGACGGGAATGGGGCGATGTTTGCCTCCTGGGGGGCGTCTTTGGGGCCTCCTGGGGCGTCTTCGGGGCCTCCTGGGCCCTCTTGAAGCCTTCCGAGGTCCTCTTGGTGCGCTCTTGGGCCGTCCCGGGGCCATCGTGGGTCTCTCGGAGGCTGTCTTGGAAGTATATTCGGCCGTCCTGGAGGCCTCTTGGGCCGTCAAGTCCCGAAAAGTGGCCGCTGGCCCGCGGGGCCAAAAGTGGGTACCGGGGAAGGGGGAGTTTTGAAGACATGGTGGCCCCCAGTCCCGGGGGCCCCCGGTCGCCCGTGATATAATATAACAAAACAAGAATAATATGAATACGACTACTACGACTACTACTATTATATACGAACGTGCTTACGCGGGCTGGTGGGCGGTGTGTGAACTTATAGTTAGAAGCGCACCTTTGTTTGATTCGGTATGTTCCCTTTTCGCGCAAATCAGCGGGGTGTTGTTGACTGTAGTTCGGCGGGGTGTGTGTGGGATGTTATGTTGCTCAGCGGGTCGATCTAATTTCCTGAACTTACACTGCGTCCCTAAGTTGTGTATGCCACACACGTGCAAGCAACTGTCAATTATGCCGAGAGCTCCACGCTTGTAGCTCCACGCTTGCAGATGGACTCAGACATGTAGTGCACTACCCTCGGTCGACATCTTGTTCGATCTGTAACAGCTGGCTGCAAGAGGGGGAAGGGCAAACAAAAGGAGTTGCGCTTGTTCAGCAGTGGGCGTGCATCAACGCGTCGGCCACGCGAGGGACCGCAGAGTATCGTTTCGCTGGAGACTGATCACGATGTGAAAATCTCGGCGGGGCTCGGCGGACAGAGATGGCCCTGGCACAGTCTGGGCCCTCTGGAGCCCTCAGTAGGCCAAGTTGAGGGACAAACGCTCCATCTCGTTCCCATCTCCCCGATATCAGGAAGACGCAATGAAAAACATGACCTGACCGATTGGCCCTTCTCTAAAGAAGCGGTTCCCCATGCCACATCGATCCGTGAAAGTCCCAGAGCCCAAGATAGCGCAACACGCCCAGTCGTGCTTTCCAATTCTGCTCGGATATGAATGTTCAACACTGCTGGGGCGGCCGGTGCACCGCGCAGCGCGAGTCCTCGCCGCAGCGCGCCTCCGCCTCCTCCAGCGTACCAAAACTATCGCTGCAGTGGTCGTGGAAGGCGTCGTTGCTCGCGGCCGGCCCGTCCACAAAGTTGATGCCCGTGCGCTGGTGGGGAGGAGCACTCTCTAGGATCTCGAGGATTTCGCTGGGGCAAATCTCGTCTGAGTGATTTGGGTGGGCTGGGGTGGGTGGTTGGACCAGCTCGCCAACACACCTCTGGGGCTTCACGGCCTCTCCAAAATGCCTCACGGACCCCTGCATATCCCCACAATGGATCTAAAACGTGGCTCAAGATACCCCCCAAAGTTGGCTCCAGGACGGCAGAGGCCGAAGATGATGAAAAGATGACCCCACGAAACCATCAGAGTCTCCAAGATAATTCTGCGGGAATTTCCCCGAATTCACGCATCATCAACACCGTCCTGGGTTATATATGATGCATGATTTGGGCGCTTCCCACTGTTCGGTTCAACGTGGCCCCAAGATGGTCTCCAGAGGCAAATTCAAGAGGCCCTCTGTGGATCCTTTGTTGGCCCAGGATGCCCCCAACATGTTCAGAATGGCCCCAGATACTCTAGGGCCTCTAAGACGTTCTCGAGACGGCCGAAGGCCGCCCCGAGACAAGACCCCCAGAGGGAAATCAAGCGACATCCAAGAAGGGCCAAGAGGGCGTCACGAATGCCTTAACAAAGCCCCAGGAGCCTCCCAAGACGGGCCCACATGTACTCCCACACAAGCGTCGAGCCCGCACATGGGGTTAGTTTCTCCCTTGGGGGCACCCAGGTCCCCTCGCTCTGGGGGCTTACTAACTGACGTCTCCACTGTTTGACATTTTCTTGACAAGAAGATAACGTGAGGTTTTCCAAGCCCATGCTCTCACCACCCCTCTTGGACTCTAGCCTCTGGCGATCATCCGCCATCGTGCTCTCGGCACTTGGGGGCGTCTTGGAATGCTTCTCTGCTGTCTGGGGGAAGGTCTGTCATTCATGCTTCCAGAGGCGACCCGCGGGTCGGAAAACCGGCCCCCTGAGTTTGCTCTCCAGCACCTCCGTCGGCCTCCAGACGACTCAAAGAAAGCCGAAGACCGTACGAAAACGGCTACAAGACGCCCCGGGACCTTTCAAAAGACGGCCCAGCCAGTTTCCAATCTCTGCAATATCTCCCCAAAATAACCCAACGGGCCCCGCGAAGCCTCCGCGAGGCGTCTGAAGATGCTTCCAACAATGCTTCCAACAATGCTTCCAACAATGCTGTAACAAAGACGTCTGAGAAACATGTCAGAACATGAATGTTTGTACTTCCGATACTCTTCGGTTGAGCCCTGGGAATGCTTGAGAGAGCCTCCACACGCCCCCAATTCGGCCGAACCATGCCCCAAAAGAGATCCCAGATGGCGCTCAGAGTGCCGCAGAAAATTCCAAGACAGCCCGGGGGGCTTCAAGACGGCACCAAGAATTTGAAGTGGGCTGGGAGGCCCAGCCAGCAGCTCCGCCTTAGGCGAAGCCAAGCTCCTGCTTTGTTGTACCGTGGTAGCGATAGTCTCAGTAGGAGAGGATGTGCCATCTTAAGCAATAGGAAGATCCTTTTGGTCTCGATAGCGATTGTGCGCCTCACACTGAGGCGCAGTCATATATGGGCGGCCGGCCGCTTGAGCCGACGCGGCCGCGGGCGCGCGCTCGCTTCCACTCCTTATGTCCCTCAGATCGCTTCAGAGTCGGGGGGGGGGGGGGGAAGGGAGACGAAGCGGGGGCCCGTCGCCTCTATACAACAGGCACAGCAGCTAACGTACACAAGGACAGAAGAGGGAACGGGCCAAAGGGAAGGTGGACCCGCTCGCAAGTTGCCTCGCTTGTACAGTTCTGTGCTGGACATACTCATCAGGCGGCGTCAGAATTTCATGTCTGGCCGGCCCGATATGGAGCATGTCTCTCCAGGTCATGCTTGAACGCCTGAATTCCCCCATGGCTTGTAGGAGCATTTCTCTGTCGATGTTCCCCTTTGTGTGGCCATCCGCAGTCGTATCGCGGGTGTCGCACCGCTGGATGCTGTGCGCGAGTCCACGCTCAATCATCTGTCGTATCCAACTGATGTGTCCTAAAAAGGTACACCCAGTCGGCTTCTTCAAGTCTCTGCTTGACAAGGACTTAAAACAGACTCAGCATCTATGGTCAAGGTGACTTTGATGCTCAGGCCACCCAATTCAAGCGTATCTTTCAACTGAGTGGTCGCGAGCGGCCCTGCGTGGAGCTCGTGCAGAGTCACAATCGTGGGATAACAGTCCTCCAAATTATGGGCTGCTGCTGGTGTCTCTGCTGAATAGCCCGAGCGGACCTGCAAACGATGAGACTTTCAGTGCGCATCAATCAAGTGAGCGACAGGCTTACCGGATGGCGTGTTTCCACGTCGTAGCAGGTTTGCCCCGCGAATACCATGGCCTTTGACGTCGTCATCGGCGTCTCCACTCAGGCGTCGGTATCCTGAGTCGCTACGCAGGTCGACCTCGTCCGTAGGATTCATCGCCTGGCATGCGATCTTCTTCGGGCAGGCCTGTAGCTTCCTGGCGATCGCGCTCAGTCGTCGCGCTTGAATGATGGTCGGTTCTTGGACACGTTGTAGAGAGACAACATACACCGTCAACCACACCTGGGTGATTAATGCATACGCCAGCGCCCCCCTGAGGATGGCGAACATGTCTGCAACCATCTTGGTTGCCCGAGCGTCAGCGTCGGCGCCGGTCAGTTCAGGGCGTTGTATGAGACTGAGCTGTTTGATGTATTTGTCTTGGACCAACGTGACATTGCAGTCCTCATCTTTGGTGTATATCACAACACAGTTGGCGCATGTGTGCTTGTTGAGTTTACAATTGCCAATTGTCAATGGTGCCCCCAGTACCGGCCATACTGATGTCGTGAGCAAGTTGCTGCTCGTCTCGAACTCCTCGTCGTAGGACGTCGGTCGGAGACCGAAGCCTCTGGTGGTTCTTCTGAGCTTTAGAAAGAAAGCCCGTGGTGCATCTCTGGTGCCTGTGCCTGGTTTCAAGCACTGCAGGCAGTGCGTTGACTCGTCGCAGTGCTCGAATCCTGGGAGAGTTCGGAGCACTGTGGCCGATCCAGGCGGCAGAGTCAAACACACCACGCGTTCCTTTTCACCAGTAGCCTCAGCAAGTTCCTGATAAGTCAGTCCCTTCAGGAAGGCCATGTTGGTGTCGAGAGAGGCAATGATCCAATGCTTCTTGTACGCTGCCGTGCTAGCGAGTAGCCCCTGGCTTGGCCGTCGCACTGTTCCCGAAAATGCTTCTACGTCGAAGGCTTCAAGGTCCATGAAAACACGGAGAACCAAGCGTAGTCTGATGGTACGTTCCATATCGCCCTTCTCGTTCTTCACGAACTTCAATGTGCACACTATCTCGAAGTCATGATGCTCGACGCTTTAGCTATGTATTGCATATTAAAGCACTTGCTGTCAAGCCATGTCTTGAGTTCAATGTGGAGGGCCTCCGAAACCTTATCGGGATTCGCCTGGATGTCAGCTTTCGCGAGGAGGTTGTCTTCCTTGACGACCACGGCTCGCTTTGAAGCGGCGGTTACGTATACTCGTACAGTGGTCACCCGGTCGGCATCTAGTATTATATGTTGTTGTTCGGACAAAACTACCTTTGATACTTCTGCCGTAAAGCAGAGTTCAACGTACCGACGTACCGACCACTTTCATCTGAGTCCAGTCCGTAGTTGTCGCCTTCGACCATGGTGTACATTGGGACGTAGTACGTCTCCTCGGTGTCGGAGTCGTGAGTGCGTCCCCGCTTCGGCAGGTCTCCCCGCTGTTCATCAGCTACAGTGATCAGCGCACCTGGATCTGGGACCATCTGTGTAGGTATGGCGAAGAGGCTTTCTGGTGGAATTGCCTCCAGCAGTTCCTTTTCCTCTTGAAATTCTGCGTGCCACACTGCCACAACATGCGACTCGAGATCAGCCTCTGATTCTTCGTAAATCGTAGAAGCCCGCCCGCTCTCATGTGGTGGTTCGGCTTATGAGGCTTCTCTTGTGGTTCCCTCCGGTGCCGGTGTATCTGCCAATTCCTCAAATCTTGGCATGTCCTGATCAAAACCTGCTTGCGGTTTAGTGGACTTCCGGCATTGAATTGTTCTCGAATGTGCTGGTCCAGTTATATCGTGTATATTCAGACCAGTACCTTCTGCTTCATGCTAATGGAAACCTGGAGTCACGTCGTTGTCGTAGTGGACCAATGTGCAGCTGTCGGCATAAGTAACCGAAGGCAGCTTATGAATACTCTTGGCTGGCCTGACCGAAACTACATTCTCGATGCGGAATAAGTTTCTGATAAAGTACTGTAACGCTAGGTGTACCTTGGGGGATAGACGGCTTGCAGTCGTCATCTGAAGCGTCCCTTTCCTGGTCGGCACATAGCCAAAGGTCAGAGCAGGTCTCCCCGCCGATAGGCTGGCTACGAATGTCAACGCTGTGCGTAGCGCAGTGTTGTCGGAGCCAATCTCTCGGGCTATCAGTGCTTCAATGTATAATGTCCCTGTCTTGTACCGCCGTATTGTACTTGAACATCTCGGTTGCCCACTCGGATGATGACCTGACCCCTTTTTCGGGATCATCCTTTACCACTGGGAACGGGCCATTCCAGCCTCCCCAATCATCCTTCGTGGTCGTGGGGCGATGATGATCGACCAAGTCTCCTTCATCATAATAGTGCTGACCAGTAATAATCGTTTTAGTGCGTAAGGCACGATTGGTCTTAGCTACTGCTGTGGCCTGTGTGATAGCTTCAATGCATACCCTGCGCATCGTCTGCTCGCGAGACTGGCCCGAAGTTTCCGTCTGCTGCTCGTGGCCCAGGACGGGTAGGTCAGGGAACATTGCTGGTTGCCGTCCAAACAGAGCGCTATATTGCGACACCTCGTTATAAAAGGTGAACGCGCTGGCGGCAAACAAGGCCTCGTGCAGTAGTCGGGTGAACACAAGAGGTATATCCAGCCTGTTGGGTTCAGCTTCCATGGCCTGAAGTAGATGGCGCAGGATGCCATTTATGGCCTCGGTCGTTGGGGCGTGCTGTCCACGCGCACGGATCCTAAGTTC